TATGATTTCTGTAACTTGCAGAGTTTATTTGAACTTTAAAGATAATTATTTCTTTTGTATTCTCTTCGTTTTGAGTGGTTTGGTACTGTGTACTGAATGTGGATGTTTCACTGCCACGTTTACTATAGCTTATCTGGCATGTTTACTCTAGTTCTTTCTGAACTTACATTCTAAGCTTTTTCACACAAATAAAACACCTCTTCTGTGTTAATAGTTGCATGTTTTTGCATTTCATTGTTTTAAACTGAATTGCCAACCAAATGTGAATGGACAATGAGTTTTGTAAAATGTGTCACTGTCATTAACATTACCGTGTTGTATGAAACGAATTGCTTACCATCAGCTGTGTTCTCACAGAAGAATTTGATGTGTAGAGCATGGTCATAGCTCTCTGCACTGGCAATTAGTGCAATCAGTTCAAGTTCCTTCTGTTCTTTGTCAATATGTGAAATACAACCTGATAAATGTGTTGCAAAATAGAATAAGAATCATTTACATTGATAACTTCAGTTGCTGTTAATATCACTCCTGTGTTTGTCACATGGGAACAGGGAGCAAGGGAATGCTGCTAGCAAAGTGTGAAGTAATTTCATTTCGGTGATTGGGCTGTAAAGTGGTAACGTAACACAGTTAGAAATATGAGACATCGTAATTTCTACAGATTTCTATAATTAGTGTTAGTACTAAACAAGGAGTCTCCGATATGTTAGAGGATCAACACCCACATAAAATGAAACAATAGCCTAAGTAAAACAATATGCAAATGCTTCCTGTACCAACATTCTGATCAGTTGGTCTGTTTTATTTGTTGAGTTTTTTTAAACTCAATTGTGAATGCTCTGTGCTAAGGAATGGATAGCAATTCAAGTTAAGACCTATTGTGAATATGTTGCTTCTGTCTTGTGTTTGCCTTTTATTTGCAGAGATGAACTTTGAATAAGTTATAGTTAGCTTGGAAATACTGAGATAGTTGATTTAACTATTTCTAGAAATTCTAGAAAGTACTGTGGCCATTATTGAAAGCAACCCATTACTCTTAGGAATGTCAAATATTTGAAAGTATAAATAGTATACTGTAAAGTGTTTGTAGAAGTGTACTAATTGTAGATGAATTTACAGAAAGAAGAATGGTAGGAAGTACCTAATTTCTAAGGCTGTGTCATTTTTATAGAAGGATATTGGACTCCAAATTCAGTGGAAGCAAAATCTTAAGCTGTTTTACTTGTACTTTGGTTAGTTAATTATTGGCATGAAGAGATACAGGTGATTAAATATTATAGTTAAAAATCATGCTGAAAGTTAAGATATATTGTAATGGCCATTTCTGGGAAAAGCTTTCGTAAAGGTTATTGCAAAATGTGGTAGATTTTAAGACCTATAACTGCTCTTGTAGCCTACATGTCAAATGCTTCTCAGGAAAATTGGTCTTGTTTATTTTCTGCAGTCAGTAAATTTAAAAACAACTGCAAACATTATTAGTAGACAGAGCTGAGCAGGGTAGATTTAATTCCAGACTTCTGTAATCCCTGCTGCTACTACTGACATAAAGTTTTTCACATTTGTTACATTCTAAGTGTACACCTAAGTTTTTCAAACATTACCAAAATAATTTTCATTGAATCAAATTTTAAGATGCTCATAATAAGTTCTCATTTACCCTATTGTCAGACTATGACTGTTTCTTCCAATGTGTTTTTAATACTTTGATCTAATTTTGGATGTACCCAAGTACATGTTTTCTTACACTCTCTTATAAAATGGTTTTATTATTCTTATAGGAAATTTAGAGATTTCAACATTTGGTAATTGGTAATATAAGTATTTCACTTCTGTGTAGTTGTCAAATATAGAATAACTTGGGAACTTGGGTACGTGTAACAAATTCTAAGCTGCTTAGTTATTTCTCATGTAATGTTATATGAAATAGGCTTCATAAACTGTTCTCTTGGTTGTCAAAACTCCAAGACACTTGTCTCCTTTATAATCTTTAGAATTTTATTTTAAAAGGTTTAGACTATTTTCTTAAAGAAACCGAGGAGAAATTGCTGTAGCTTTCAAACTGCTATACATTGTAAAGTATAAGTTCAGGATAATCCACTGCAAATAAAATGTATATTACTTTTAAGCCATAGCTTCCTATTGATAGTTCAGTCATGTCTCAGCCTTCAGGTTTTCTTCATTGAATTGAAGGTTGCACCTGCCATACTGACATGTAACATGCTATGCTAAGGCAACCTTTCGTATTTTAACACCTGCCCTCCCAAACCTGATGTATGAGAAATGTCAAGAACCCTTGGTTTTGGACAGTTCTCTAATATGATGCCTAATCATATATAATAACAGAAAGAATATGGGTGGGCCTGTGTATTACTCAAGGTTTTCTAATTTAGAGGAATATTAAATGTAGGTCTAAACTCAGGCAAAATAGTCACTGATGCCCTGAGCAGTAGTATGCCAGGAGGAGCAAAACAGCTCCCTGATCTGTCTTTGTCTCACACCAGCGGCAGAAGCGTAGTCTTGGCTGTAAATGCTGCAGCAACCACCACCCACAAGAGAGGTGTGGAACGCTGATATGACAGCTACTACTTGAGGTCAGCCAGGTGCAGCAGGAGCAGTCACCATCACCTTTGTCCTGTCGTACAGCTGGAGTGAAAAGCCTGGCAATGAATGCTCTCTCTGTAGATCTCCATCCTATATATTCCATTTTTCTGATTTTTATATTTTGCTTTGTAGAAGGTGTCTAGCATATTGCTAGTTTTCATCTGAGGTGTAGCAAAACTGAATCTACCAAAAGTATTGTAAACCATAAGCCAGGTATGAATACAAGCAGATTTTTTATACTGAGTAATGATAGTTAAAAGTGGCTTATCTGGCGAAATAGTCCTATTTTCTTACTGCACATTTAGACAGTTTTTTCTTTAAACACAAGATGGCACCATTGCTATTGAAACAGGTTCTTATTTCTTATTTACATTTGAATTATTGGGAGGTTTGGCACATTAATATATGGTTTGAAATGTTTTGGGGTATTTTTTGCATAGCACAGTAATTCACAATTTCCAGCAATGATATCCTTTTTCACAGTTCACGTATCCTCTCATCCTATTTATGAGGCATAATTCATAAATCTATTACCTAGTATCTTCTTATTTTTGTCAGTTTTCTCCAAATTATTAAAATTGTGCCAGATGTTTCTGTTTGAAAAGCCAAAAGTGACTACTCTGGTCTTCAATGACTAAGTTAATTAATCATTGCTGGTATTCACACATGGTAAAAGCTGTTAAAATCCAAAAATAACTCCAATTATTTTCCATGTACAAACTCTAGGGTTTGTTCAGTATCTCAGCTCTTATGATTTAAATGTCTAACACAGAAAACAAGTCTTATAAGGAATGCCCATCTTGTAATTCACTATTCCAGATGAGAATGATCTCTTTGCAAGCTGATTTAAGTTCAAGCTGACAGCAAAAAGATGGGCTCCTGGTCACTAGTGCTGTTTTGTACCATGGTTTTCTGTTTGTATGTCTGAAACATGAGATAATCTTGCTCGGATACAACCCTTGGCAGAAACTCCAGATGAGTTTTGGCCTCAGCATTAAGCTAGGTATGTGCCAGTGTTAATGCAAGGATGAGGGTAGAAAACATGCAGTCAGACTGCCCTTTTCAATTTCAGCCTGCACTAACATAAGTGACTAGCATTTCCATCTGAGAGTAAGTAATTTCAATTTAATTTGAACATACTTTTAACATTGACATATGCAGGAAATTAGAAGATTATTTCTGGAGTCCTATTTTCAAATTTTTATAATGTATGACAGGAATAAAACTGTTCAGCTATTCAGATAACTAGCATTTGCAATATTGATGAGCATAATTGGTGATACAGTGAAGAATTACACTTTTTGAAGGAGTAGAAGTAACTTTAAATCACTTGCTTTTCTTCAGGGTATGCAGAAAATGGAATGACTTCTATTAAAGTGATAATTAGAATGAGTTAACTCCATTTTTAACAGAGAAAAGCAGCAAGATTCAGGGTGCTTTATGAGTGGTATCCATTGCAGGGTACTTCTAGAATTATGAGGCTATTCTCAACATCTGCTTTAGCAAAAGAAGTATTATCCTTGCAAGATGGTGAATAATTAATTGCTATAGCAAAATTCAAGCATGTGTGTGGGAAATAAATTCAGAGTGTAGTCCTAGTCTAGGACTACATCAAAATAATTCCTTCTCCAGTAACTGTTGAAAGAAAGATGGAAGAGGGATGTATATGCTACTAGTTGAGTTGGTATGTTCATTATAGCAGCATTTTTAAGTATTTTACTGCAGTTTAAATGCACTGCAAGAATTCCCTTCCTATAAAAGAAATGTTTAGGTTAGGAATAAGTTCAAGTGCTGTTTATCATTTGAACAGTATTATCAAAATTATCTATCTTTTTTTTTTTAATGGTGATGTTGCAAGTGTTTGTATGCTGCTGGTTTTGTGATCATTCTTCTAAGGTTGTGGGTTGCATCTCAAATTATTAGCTTTTTACGCATTTGCATTACTGTTTTAGCACCTCCGAGTTCATGTTTTTCTGTTTTAAATGTCTCCAGTTTGATCAGAAAGTAGTGCGTAAGAAAGGGGGATTGTGTCTTAATTTTATGTAAACTTAAGTGCACATCTTTGCAGTGGCCAAGAGTCTGTATTCTGTTCTCTCACCTGACATAAAGCTTGGGGTTGAACCAAAGTCATCCAATCTATCAAGTTCTGCCTGAAGCCTGAGGAGAAATCAAGCTCAGCAAAAGTCATAAAATGATGTATTTAGGAATTTAGCTGTCTTCCATGTTTTACTTTGCACCCCTCACTTGTGGAAGTGAGGCTTTGCTTTAGTGGAAATCCTGTAAAGTACTGCGATTAATGTAATAAACAATTATATATTAAATATTGGGAAAGAAGCAAATAAAGGCCAGCAGAATTATGTTTATTCTTTTTTAAAAAAAAGATATACTTCACTTTTCAGCAAAGATGTCCAGGAAGCTAAGTTTGCCAACTGAGTTAAAGCCTGATTTAGGTAAGTTTACAGAGTTAATTTTATTTTTACTAAAACTGAATGCAAGTACGTTAGAGTCCTAAATTATGTAAGCTATCATGACTTTATGTTGCATTTATCTGAAGTATAGAACTAAAATTTTAATTCCACTCTTTTTGGGGACTCTCAGGCACAAAATGTCTTTGCCGTCATCTTAAGGTAAGCCTATAATTCCTGTATATGGCTTATCACACTTCGGTCAGTTTTTAGGCATCTGTCACTCACTTTATCAGTAGTGCTGTGATAGCAAAAGCATGACAAGCAGACAACATAAGGAAAACTGCTGCCATCTGATACATTTTAAACTGAAAAATGAAATATTTTAACAGGGTATGTTGAGGTCCTCTCAACAAATAGTTGGCCGTAGTTTTATAAACTTTAATTGTCTTGTGACCACTCTCTCTAAATTAAAGGAACATACAGCCGTTTGGATGGATGACCAGTCTGAGAATTTAATTTTTCTTGAAAAAGCACAGTAACTTTTTATATAGGAAGCAGTTCAGTTTTGAAGTCTGTAATACTAAAGGTCATTGTGTTGCATAAGTAAAACAGCATACAAATGAGTAGATTATTTTTTAAAATACTTTGACAGCCCGCTTGTAGGTCATATCCAGCTCCCCTTGCCTTGTTCTCTAAAGAAGTGATGGGGAACAGCTGTAGACCTACAGCAGTAGATGCAGCTGCTTTCTGCCTGCCACAGCTCACTCCCCTTTTTGCAGCAGAACTGCTACCACAAGCCCAGCAGAAGACAGACCAGGATCAGACTGGCAGCTGCAGCACTGTGTGTGTGACAGCTGCTGCTGCTATTGACAAGGAAAAAGTCCATGACACTGGGATATTCTGAAACTGAGCTGGACCACCCTGATTTACAATTACAGCTTGCCCCACTCAGAGAAATGTGAAGTTGGAAGCAACCCTCAGAGATCCTTTAATCCATTGCTATGGCAAGGATACAGATGTTTGACAGTTAAACCTCTGATCTATTCATGGGCCTCCAGAAAATACAAGACCGTTTCAATGCTTTATAGTAATTAGACAAATTTTCTGTTATTTAATCAAACTTCCTTGCTTTCATATGAACTTTTTCTTGTCCTTTCTACAATGAACAGGGGTAACAAGTACTCCCTATCTTTGTTAGCCATTTTATGCTGTTGAAATCTGTCATCATATCTCTAATTTCATTTTTGCAGATTTTTTTTTTTTTTTTACAGAATTCAGCTCCTTCTTCTTTAGATTATGTTGTCTGAACCTAGGATGGCTTCTTTTAATCTTCTCTGGAACTGGAATTTTTCCTTCTCTTTCTAAACTCAGTGCCCAGAACTAGAGGGATTTAACTGTGGCCTTTTTTGCACTAAAGAACAGAAGAATTTGACTTCTCTTTTTGATATGTTTATATTCTTCCTTACTATGTTTACTCATGGTTTAGGGGTAATTTTGGCACAGAGTGAATTTTATCATACTTTGCAAGCTGGAACACATTTGTACTTAAATATTATCCAACTGTAATTCTGCTGTTTTACTCCCAATTCTTTGGTGGCAATAAGTACTTTGAAGTGTTATTTTTTCTAATGAAGACTGGAGAAAAGCAAATGTTGAAGTTTTTTCAGCATTTTCCAATCCTGAAAGAGTTGAAGCATTTTCTGCATCACTTAGTATTTGCCGTTCTTTCTACTGAAATAATGGAAGGGGTTTTTGGCACATCACTTCTGATATACTCATAAAATAGTCTGTACCTTCTGAATTGTAATAGCCTTTGACTGGTTTTGTTTTTTCATGTGTGTAAGTATCTGCACTTAGATGCCTCATTTTGTTCTGCATAAAATTCTTCAAGGTTTTTAGGTCTGTAAATAACTTCCTTAAGCAATCATAATTTTTTTTTTTATTATTTCTATCTTTTCTCCTAGTGGGATAGCTTTTGCACAATATTCTTGAAAGACTATTGCCTTGCTTGTTTGGGTTTTTTTGTTGCTTATGTGGCTCCATCTACTGCCTGTAGGAGACAGCTGAAATGCCTTTCTCCCAAATTCATTATCCTATCATTTTCTCTCATTTCTTTCCATGGCTTCTTGAAATCTACTCTTCCATGATCTTGTTCTTTCAGATTACTTTTCTGTCTTTAGATCTTTAACCTACCCCTTTTCCTTTCTGAATACATTAAAGAAAATCTAAAGTGTGTTTCTGTATTTATTCTCCACTTTCTAAAACAGAAGTTTCTTGAACATACCCTTGTCGGCATTATACCATTGCTTTTCAATGTTCTAATCCAGTGATAAAGATACTATTGCCGCTAGGTCCTATTCTTTGGTTTAGTTGCTCAAAAGAGCCTCATCTTTCCATCTTTCTGATGAAGTGGTGTGTAATGATTCATCACACTGTTGTTCCTTCCTCTTCACCTGAACCTAATCCATTAACAAATCATTGACTACTTTCTTGAGTTCAGGATAAATAAGGTGCACTAAAACAGTTAAACTGTTTACCCTTAGTTCTCTCTTCAGAATGAATTGACCACTCTCAAAAATGCCCATATTATCTGACAAGTTAATTTTTATTGTTTTTTTTTCCTGTCCATTCCAATGCTTTTGGAATTTGTACACATGTTCTTCAAATATTCAACCAGCTAGAACTCAGGAATGCACATTTAATGTTATGCCTATTGCAGTTACTGTATTATTATATTCAGACTGATTAATCCATGTTAAAGTTGAAAAAATGCATTAAATTATTAAATATTCAAGCCTGAAAAAAACCCAAGTATCATAAGAGGTGGTGGTCATTAGAAGAATTATAAAACCAAATAATTGTTTTCATTGTTTTACTCTGGATTTAATTTTATTTAAATGGAAAAATGATGTTAATATCTGAGCGGTTGAGTTAATTTCTTTCTATAATCCATGTTTTACATTTGACAGCTAAAATTCAACAGGACAATAATTTTTTTGTATCCTTGTTGGAATGAGACAATTATATCCTGAGAAGATTCACTGTTTGTGTTAAGTAGATGTGTGTATTTAGTCACATGAAATCTCGTATATATGATTTCTAAATGCATGTTAGATGTTCTTAGTAGAAAGTTTTGCCATAATTTAATGAAACTAACATAGTATTACTTCCAAAAAGTATGCGGTTGAATGTTGCTCTTTAGCTCTTAGTCCTGCTTTAAAGATGCCAAATGTATACACCCTACACAAAGATCTAGACCAAGAACTTGATTTTTTTTATAAAGTCATTATATAAATTGCATCAAACTTTTACTGGTAAGAGCTGTCTTGTGCTAGAATTCTGCAATTATGAATTAAGAAAGTAAAGCAATAATTTTTGAATGCACAGATAAAGTCAGTGTATGCAGACGTATTAAGTGTTGCCACACCTACAGACAGCACACGGCTAGAATGGAGCAGCACATTTATTCATTTGAGCTTTTGTTAACATTAAAATTCGTGTATTTGCTAAGCAGCGAGCAAGACATCCTGAAAAGTTTTAGTGCCGTTACTGGCACTATGGTACAACATTCAAAGTGGAAATCTTCAGCTTTGCATACCAGTACCAGGTGGCATTTGGTAGCATTTGTTGTTTCTTTTACCGAAATTTTGGGGATCTGTAAATAGCCTGTTGGATCTCCTCCATACAGTTTCCTAAAGTGGGACAATATTATTGTGAGTCATTACAGGTTCCGTGTTACCACGCTGTCTGGATGTCACTGAAGTTCCTAAAGTAAAATACTTGTTTCTTCATAAGATTAGTAAACCGTGTTCCATGGAAGCCAGTATTTTTTAATCTGATCAATGAACTAATTGGCAGAGAGGTTTGTAATTCAGTTTTTTTAAGGAGTCCTGTTTAATGACTGTTTTTCTCTGGCCCTAGAAGACAGAAATATGCATAAAAATTGTTCATGATCATTCTAATGACAACCTCTGTAACAAGGATTTGCTCAGATACAGAGTTGAAAACTGGGCCAAAAAGAAACATGACTAAGGAAGAATACAGGGGTAGTAATCAATAGAATGGTAGTTAGTATACAGTTGATGCTAAAGAACACACAACAATATTGAATTCTCTTAATGCCTGCATTTTGCCATTCTTTTTAATTAATACTGATTTATTTTCAGATGTCAAAGACAACTCTTTCAGTCGATCCCGGAGTTCTAGTGTAACTAGCATTGATAAAGAGTCACGCGAGGCAATTTCAGCTCTTCATTTTTGTGAGACTTTCACAAGAAAGGCTGATACATCACCTTCCCCATGCCTGTGGGTTGGGACCACGCTGGGCACAGTGCTTGTCATTGTACTGAACTTACCCCCAGGAGGAGAGCAAAGACTTCTTCAGCCAGTAATTGTTTCTCCTAGTGGTATGTACAAAGCAGACAGGCTAAAATATACGTTGATAAAGTATTGTTGTCCTTCTTCATATTTTTGTAAGAAATTGGTTTTATTCAATTAGAGAGTAATTAAGAATATATATTCCATTGATCTAGCTCCTAAGATAACAGTCTAGACTGTTTAGTTTATTACCAGAGTTTTAAAGTTGGAAAAGTTGAAAATACAATCTCATAAAATATAAAAATACCACTTTAGTGTATACTTGCTGAGAAAACCATGTTTGCAATTGTTAAACAGAGATAGCAGAAGAGACGAGTGATATCAAATGCTCAGTTTATTATTTATTTTTTTGTCATGGGGTAAGAACCCTTCAGTTCTTGAATCTTCAGATTCAAGAGCGAACTGCAGGGGAGGAATAAGACACACATTGCTTGTTTCTGAACCAGTTGAAGGAAAAAGTGGTGCTCACCTTTGACTAATAACATTTATTGTCAATATTAAGCACACTTGTACTTCGCAGGAGAGAGTGAAATCAGGTGCATTTGTGGCACTGAACTTGAATACAAATGTGTATGGCAGTCTGGTTCTCTTACTAAATGTATACATTTCTTGGGAAGTTAATGGAATAGAATACATACACCCTTGAAAACTGGTCTAAAATTTTCTTGAGTACCTATGTGCTTCCTTGGTTTTTAGATAAATGTACAAAGTTTTTGGTACATCTGTTTTGCTACAGAGGCAAGCCGAAGTTTTTGTTTTCTTTTCATTCTGCTAGCTTCTTAAAGGAATATTTTGTAGCTTGAAAGGCAGTTTAAGAGAACTGTTTCAGAAATGTGCTCAACTCCTTTTTTCTAGGAACCATCCTGAGGCTAAAAGGGGCAATCTTGAGAATGGCTTTTTTGGATACCACAGGATCTTTGGTCCCACCAGCACATGAACCCTGGAGAGAATACAATGTTCCTGAAGATAAAGATGAAAAAGAAAAAGCAAAAAAACGACGTCCTGTCTCAGTGTCCCCTTCTTCCTCTCAGGAAATCAGTGAAAACCAATATGCAGTGATATGTTCAGAAAAGCAAGCAAAAGTTATCTCACTGCCATCCCAGAACTGTACTTATAAGCAAAATATAACAGAGACTTCTTTTGTTCTTCGTGGAGACATAGTGTCATTGAGTAACAGTATCTGCCTTGCATGTTTCTGTGCCAATGGGCATATTATGACTTTTAGGTAAGACCTGTTTGATAGTAACTTAAACATAAAAAGAAGTAGTAGCCTTCTGCTACACAGAAAGGTTTTTTTTCCATTAGAAGATGAATTTAAAAAAAAAATCTACATTCATTCAGGGTTAATGAATCTCTAACACTTGGGCCTGGATAATTTTGATTACACATTGCTATTAGTTATGCCTCTAACACATGAAAAAGTTTACCATTTTAGCTCAAGCTACCCTGGTTCAACACACAGTTTCAAACGTGATACAGGTCCATGAGTTGAAGTTTGTCTAAAAGATGAATTTACTCCCTGATGGAGAAAACTGCCTTGAGTCAGAACTTTAGCTTGTATCTGACCACAACTCTATCGATTTTTGTGCAGCTGTTGCATCACACTCATGCCTCAAGCTTACTGATGTTGTGTAGCTTGCTCATGTCTTGAAGGCCTTAAACTCAGGCTATAAAGGCAAGATTAACTGCTAGTAGTTGTACAGTAATTGCTACAGTTGTACAGGTTTAAGTTATGAGTTTAAACATGTAGTAGTAGTTTTTGAATATACTTACTTGTCACTTATGTAATTTTCATGAATTTTTTTCTTAATGTTTCTAAATGCTATTTTATTCTGAACAGCAGTGTATATGCTTATACCCTTGCACCTGCAATTTAGTCATGGCCTAATGCTAGGATGTATATGGAACATGGCATTTTAAAATTATGCCAGTAAAATTCCTAAAATGTTTTTTTTAAGGTTGACAAAAGAAGCTCTCAGCTTGGGAAATACTTATTTATTAAATTGTCATATATCAGCTTTAGTTTTACTCCTACTACAGTTAAAAATAAGTTTTGATTGTAAGTCTGTAACTCCATTGGTGTGTATCCCAACATATATTCTAAACATCTCCACAAGATACTGCTCACCTTGCAGGGCACACACTGTTGTTTTTACTCATTAAAACTAAACTTAGTAATGTTCAGGTACCATATATTGAAACAAATCCTGTCTTACTCAGGATTCATGTTGTTTTCTAATGAGCTCTTCACGGGTGCTAAATTACAAATACAGAATTGTTACATTGTGTGAGGAAGTTGGACTCCCAAGGATTAGCTCCGTTATGTAAGCATGAATTGCTATTGGGAAGTGGATTTAATATGAGGTTTGTGTAAAGCTGTCAGTATGATACAGCTGTCACTGTATCATACCAAAGATGCCCAATACTTATCTACTGATATAAATTTAGATAGTACTTAGTAACAAATCTGTAACAAACTATGAAAATGCTATTATGGATGTCACACTTGTCCTACCTGATCTAATGGTTTTGTGTTTTGAAGCTGTAAGGATGTTTTATGCTTCCATTGATCTGAAGCAAGACACTTCCCTGTTATTAACTCTCTCTTAAGAATATTCTTATTTTAGATACATGCATGGCAGAAGTGTCGTTTCTGGGTGATGCGTTACAAAAAAATATTGCTTTTTATTTCTTACTTTTAAAACTTGCCTCCAAAGCCAATCTCATTATTGTTTAAAAAAAACAAACCAAAACAAACCCGAAAACAAACAAACAAAGGCAACCCAACACTTACCGTTATGGTTATTACATCTTTCTTTGGTTTTGACTTCACTTTGCTTCTTTTGCTACTTCTTTTAGTTTCTAGAAATAATCTTATGCAGGTGGTGTCTGCAGCAGAAACTGTTTAATGTATTGTTGGGACATTTGCAGCTAACAGCTTGTGTAAGTTCTTTTACAAAAACTTCACAGAGGATGTTTCAGAGACAGCAGTTTATTTTGGCTTCTTCTTGTCAAGAAATCAGGTGTTCTGTCACTCACTCACATTTAGTGTTACGTTGAGGGAGAGGAATGTTTGGTAGCATGAACATTGTTATAGCCCAAGTGTGCTGTGTCTGTTCTTCAGTAGATTGATGCAATAAGTACTGCAGTTACATGTGCAGAATCAAAAAGTACAAGGTAAGCAAAGTTTGCTCTAAAAGAACTTTCTCTTAAGTATCCAGTCAGACAAAAAAGGTGGACATAATTAATTGGATTGTTTGAGGCTACTGAATTCTGTTTTCCTTCGACAGCACACCCCTGCATATTTCTAAGTGTTCTTGAGGAGAAATCTTTTAGACTTGTATTTTTAGTCAAGGAGAGAAGAGACAGGATGTTTCATTGTAAACTCTTGGTAAATACTTACTGAAATACTTTGTAAGTAATTATTAAGTAATGTCTAATTCATTAAATAGCGAATTTGTAATTCCTATGCTCAGAGTATCATTTAAATAATGCTTTTAAATGCATCTGTGATGCAGGTGCTTAAATTTCACTTTTGAGCTGCTACCTTGAAAAATCTCACGTTTTGAGATTCTGTAATTGCATTTGATGAAACCCTGTTTATGTGGTACTCATGCAGATGAAGAGAAAGAATAATGTATTGCAGTGAGCCATTTGATCAATAATAGACATTTCTGCTATATTTAATGGAGTTTAAAATTCTTTTCCTTAAGTTTGCCAAGTTTAAGGCCATTGTTGGATGTATATTACCTGCCACTCACCAATATGCGGATAGCCAGAACATTCTGCTTCACCAATAATGGACAAGCACTCTATCTGGTCTCACCAACTGAAATACAGAGGCTCACCTACAGCCAAGAAACATGTGAAAATCTTCAGGTAATGAATTTTTTAAAAAAATATTTATTGGATATATTCTGAGATTCTTGGTTCTAGATTCATGCCTACAGTAATGAAGTTTGTCATAAAGCCAAGCGCTTTGGCTTTTGTGCTTTGATTTTTTTATTTTTTTTCTTCACTGTAGAGTCTGATTTAGGATGAATCACTTCTATCCTTAATTTTTTCTGTTCCATCCATGCTCTTGTACTTGAATCAGTTTCTTTCTTAATTTCCTTTTGATCGATAGGAAATTTCCTTTTTTAACATGCAGTTAAAATTCCCTTGTTCGATTGATGCTAGTGGAGGTGGGTGCTGACACAAGAGGGGAATGCCAGCTCGGGATACTTGAAGGAAGCTATTACGTTTCAGGGGTATTAACAGCTTGAAAAGATTCTTGGTCATGCTTCAGCTTGGTAGTTGTATAGAGTAGTGAAATAGCAGAGATGCAAGCTATAAGTTCTACTTTGGTACTGCTGAATGGATATGCGTATCTGTAGATACAGTTTCCGTAGAACAAAATCGGGAGTCTTACCCAAGTTGTTGAGGGGCAAAAACAACTTTGAATGCATTTCTTTGCTTCTGAATTCCATGAGCTATAAGCTTGCAGACATCAGAACGGAAGGTTTGATCAGATTTCTTACTGTGTTTTTACATTTCCTAAGTTGCCTTGCAAAGGCAGATGTCCATTTAAGCATATTGATTTTGAAATGCAGATCAGTTAAATAAATCCTGAAAGTGAGAGCATTACATTAATTTTAGTAATGTATGCCTTGTTATGTCCCTTCTTCATTGCAAAGGAAATGTTGGGTGAGCTCTTCACTCCTGTAGAAACACCAGAAGCACCAAACAGAGGGTTCTTTAAAGGCCTGTTTGGAGGTGGGGCACAGTCACTTGACAGAGAAGAACTGTGTAAGTTTTTATTCTTTGTTATTTTTCCGGTATTTCTACACAAGGAAGGCAGTGATCCTTGATAAATGTATTACCTGTGTAAATAGAACATAACATTTGTAAAGAGGAAAGTAAAAAAGGCAGTGACAAATACTTTTTTTGTATCTTTTTTATGTTGTACACCTAACCAACAAGATAAGAAAAGCTTGCTTTTTTCACAGGCTCTTTTGCCTCATTTATTCAGGAGCAGATTATAAGACAACAAATGGAACAACTAATCTTATTTTTATTCATCTTTGTGAATTGTGTAGTACTGACCGTGGTGCTGTTTATGTTGGTAAACTGAAAGGGAATGTTTTTGGAGAATGCTGTTCTGGACAGTGGGGAAATTAAGACTCCACTCTAGTTCATTTATTTTGCCAGATTTTACTCAGTTGATTTGTGGAGAGATGCCTTAGGAATTGCAAGGAAGGACAGAAGTGTATGATAGTTCGATTCAGTCCTCTGTTTATAGGACAGTAAAATTCAGATTTGGCAAAATTTTCATTGCTTTATTATTTTCTCTTTTTTTTTTTATTACACCTTTATTTTTTACTGTAGCATTCAGCACTTTAATATATTTAAAGAAAAAACCTTCTACTTATTCAGAGATTTGCTAGGTGCAGCACCATATTATGCAAGTTTATTTATAAGAACTGTTTCCTTATTAACATGAAACATGTTTGTTTAAATGAACATGGTGCCCTGGCAATCCTTTCTCTTATATTGGTTCTTTAGATCTCTACAATAAAAATTCAATTAGACTTCATTGCTTGTTCCTGTACATTTTTAACAGACATCAGATATTTAGAGGTCACTTTCTGTGTTAAAGATTTCTATTTATATATATAATACTTCAGAAGGTTTGTGAAATATTCTAGGAGAGAAGTTTGTGTGCACAAATTATAGTTTAATAATATGACTGGGACAGGGGAAAATACCTTATAACTTTAGAAGCTACCTCTTTACATAATTTCAAGTTTTGGCTTGGATCTTCACAAGGAAAATAATACTTAATGGAAGAAAAAAAAAGCATAATGAATTGTAGCCTGAAATTGAGTTTAATGACAATTCAAAAGACATCTGAGAATGTCTCTAGAGTAGCCATATTTACCATGAGGGTCACAGCAATGTCTGTAATAAGTAAAATGAGTTCTCTTTTTTATTTATGGAAATTCACAGAAAGATGTTTATAGTGTTAGTAAATGTAAATCATTCTTAATAGAAGCATAAAATCAAATGAGAATCTTGAAGTACTGCATCAAAATATATTAACAATATTATTTTTCCTAGAGCTGAAAAAAAGAAAATATTTAAACTATATCTTAATGTTTGAAAAAAAACCCTCAAGTTTTTGTAGTGTAAACAATTCAGCATGAGATTATCACATCCGTTAATGGTCTAGAATGAACTAGGTGGCTGATGTCCCATTAGGAGCAAAGTCGATGTAGTCAGTGCCAGCACTGGAGTCTGGAGCTGTTCAGCTGTACAGCTCACCATTCGTGGGTGTTTACTGTAGGATGAGGTGGTTTGTTCTTACAGCCATTCTATATTTTTATGGTTTACATTGCTTTTTTTTTTTTTTCAAGATTTTTACAATAGTGAGAGCATAGATACCTATCTTCAGGTGTCTGCATCTAAAATTGAACTTTCATCAGGGGAAACTTCGGCTGGTGGAGTCGTACTGGCTGGCTTACACACCAGCAAAGCACTTCCAGAACCGACCACAGCTCGTATTTTCAAAATTATCCTGCTTTGTCTGTTGAACTCATAACATGTTTCATGTGAAATAAGCTACATTGTTAAAAAACACTTCACCAGCACAATTCTGTTGATGGCCGTGATGCTAGCACTGCTGAGCATTTTAATTTCACACTTGAGCTGCGAAGAGGTTACAGTTTTATAACCTGCCTGCAAACTTGGAAAAATCTCAGTTTTATTAAGTAGTAATATCTAATAACATTGTGTAGTGAGTGTTGCTCATAGTCACACCTACAATTAGGTGTTGGGTCTCCATGCAAAGAAATTACACCTCTGTATAAACTAGTTTCATTGATATTTATGTAATAATGATGGAAAACCTTACTAATCTCTTTTTGCTGTTTTGCAAATACCTCCAGTTGGAGAATCAGCATCTGGGAAGGCATCAAGGAGTCTTGCCCAGCATATTCCAGGACCTGGAGGTATTGAAGGTGTCAAAGGAGCAGCATCTGGTGTAGTTGGTGAACTAGCACGAGCCCGGTTGGCATTAGATGAAAGAGGACAGAAACTAGGAGAACTGGAAGAAAAGACTGCAGCTATGCTTTACAGTGCTGATTCTTTCTCAAAACACGCTCATGAGGTAAGTGTGTTAAACTGAACATTGATTGTCAAATAAATGCAAGTTCTGCAAGTATCTGAGTTCTGCAAAGGCATGTTAGAGGTATCTAAAGAGAATGCAGTATCATTGATAAAGGATACTTCCCTTTTATCTATCAGTTGTTAGTCCTAATAATTAAGTACTAACGTGAACAGCTTTGTCTTGCGGCACATTGGTCTAGAGCATGCCGTCTGCTGGAGTGGCACGTAAGCTTCTAAAATTGTAACTCAATTCCCATTATTGAAAAAATTTTTGCTGAATTAATAAGAAGAGTAGAATTAATAAGAAGAGTAATGCTCTATCAGATTCCCGCGGTCCTTAAGAAAGATCCAGTTGTACGCAAACTCCACGAGTGCAAGTTAGTCTTTCTCCTCAGTAGCTACATAGAATGGCTGTTCTCATCCATTTTCATGTGAACTCTTGAACTCCTGTGCAAGCGTCCTGTTCTCTCAAATATGCCTTTTTCTGAGGCCAGATCACCAGCAATGCTGCTACCATTAAAAAATTCATCATGCTAAACCCTCACTATTCAGCAATGTTGTTGCTGTAGCTTTCAGAAGCCTTACTAGAATCCCTCTTTCTCATGCTGCTTTGTAATCATATAAATTGTGTCATTGTATGTTTTGGTACATTATAGAAACAGTAATTAGAAATTGGTTTTTTTTTTTTTTAGATGATGTTGAAGTACAAAGACAAGAAGTGGTACCAATTCTGATGACGCTCATCAATTACATCTGTTTAATTTTGTCCTGATGAAAAAAAATCTTGTTTTTTCATTAATTTTGGCAGGACCACTGAAATTTAAAGGAGTATTCACCGTTGGATACTGTTGTTTCCTAGCACAAATGACACACTGTTTTACCTCAGTCATGGCTTTAACTGAGGAGCTTTATATCTAAGAAACACATACACAAAACAAACTTGAGTGTTTCTTAGCTGTTGGTTAGAAGAGAGGTGGAACTGAGAAAGTAACTAGAAGTTGTGGAAAAGAAAGTAAAGGGAAAACATAGTGTGAGATGGGCAGGGGCAATGCAGGGTCAATCCTGTGTTAATATTTCATATGCCAAAAGTTTTTGTGCTATTGTAATTGCTGTCAGTGTTATACCCTCCTCTGAGGAGAGGCAATAAATCAGGGGTCCAAGAGCTGGAATCAAGTGGTTTGTCTTGCTGGACAGTACCTGACTTACACTTACCATCTCTAGGACTCACTGTATTTACCATTATCATTGAAGAAGAGTTGAAGTTTGCTGTCACTTCTTTCATCGGAGAAACTGGAAGCTTGGGAGATTCCTTGTTGAAAACTGTACACATAGTTGACCTGTGCATAGTCTTTTCTTGGACCCCTGATCTAGTATTCTTGTATTCACATCATATTCTGTGAAGTGCAAAACAAAAGAAAACATAATTTTTGCATTAAAAAAGTCAAGTGAATAATATGACTGGAATGTGTCATGCTGGGAGTTTTCATTTGTATTATGGCCGTGCAATGTGAAATGTGGTAACATCTTCATTGTGGTAAGAATACTTCAACTTCTGTTCAGTTAAATGCCATTTTTTTGCCAAAAATAGTTATTGGTTAAGGTTGTGTAACATTTAGAAATGGCTGTGGGTTCCATTCATGCTGTGAGTTTTTATAAATGTTTAACAGAATGTGTCTTTACAGCCATTAATTAAAATAGCTGAGATAGTTTTGCTCAAAACTTGAGTTCTAGATGCCCCTTTAGTCCCTTTACTATGAAATCAGATAACCATGGACTCAGGTTTTCAAACTTTTACATGCCATGGAGGTGCTGATGCATGAATAATGGCAAGCAAGCATCTAATATTTACCAGTTGTCAGTATGCGGTTTAGCAAATCTCTAAGTTCTGCTAGTAAAACTATTTTACAAGTACCTGTCTCAGCCCCACTCATCACTAAAGGCAGTTGGCCTGAAGTTTGGATTTAGTCTCTAAAGCAGTGTTGTCAATATAAACAGTGGTAAAGTGTGCACAGAAACTTTATGAATTGGTGAAATAATTTCAGTTTGGGTGAGGTAAATAATACAGCTGAGCTAACTTGTTAATGGCTACTGCACTAAAGCTGATATCGTGGGAATGACCCAGAGCTCTTTTTGAGAAGATTTCTTAAAATAAATGCTTGCATTTCAAAAATTTATTTAGACATTTTTCCTCAAAGTAGAAATAGTTACTGACTGGTTTTGTCTTATAAAAGGGAGTACTTAGAAGCTGATAGGTCTGCATTGTCTGAAATTAATCATTTGAGTTTGCTTCTCCAAGCATTGTTTTGTTTGCTTTTTTCACAAATGTTTTGAATGTTCCCAAAGCAAAACCTTGGTTATATTTGTATTGTGATGTTGCAGGTACACAGATAAGGCAACCTTACAAAACACCTAAAGGATGCAAAATATTGAAGTTACTGATGGTTTTTAATTTCACTTTTTAAATGAGAGGCCAATATGTTTGGGCTTTGTAGCACAAACTGATAAATTTTCCTGCTTTATAGTAACATTTAATTTAAAAGACAAGTGAATTCTTTTGCCAATATGAAGGCATGCCATACCACATCCACTGTTCAAAGGACTTATGAGAACATGACAATTTGAACAAGCAACACTGGTTTCTTGACAGCTCTCTCCCAAACCTACTGAGGCAATGTTAACTCCAGTTGCTTAACTGAGCTTGCCATGCAATATTTGCCTCTGCATGTTAAATTATTTTTTAGTGTCTAATTAATGCATATTTATATTAACACCATTTTGTTAAAAATCCAGGTAGAAGAAAACTAGATAAACTCATATCCATACCACATACGAAAATAAAATACCCTAGCTGACACTTGTTCCCTTCCTTATCTCAACGTTTATAAATTGAGATGACTGATTATTATTTGACCAGGTGAAGATAAACTATATTTCAAGGCAATAGAATCCTTGAAATTAATCTGGCCAGGCTCCGGTTGAGAGGATGGTAAAATTACTCTTCAATAAATCATGGTATCATTCAATGGAAGATGACCTTGACGTGAAAGGAAATGTACTTAACTTTCTCATCAAGACACATTTGACAACCACCAGCAAGCAAAAAAATGAGGCAGTGAGAGACCATCTGCCAGTACAAGAAGAGTAGTGGCTTATTTGATATTATAGAATCTATCATAGTTGAATCTCTTATGTTGATTAAGTTCAGAGTATGCTTCTAGATATGAAGACTAATTAAATGATTGCTCATGAGATAAACACACAAATGGTTCTTGGTCAATAAAAGGGGCTATGTACAATTTTAGTCTAAAATGTTCCTTTTTCCTTCCCTGTGGAAGGAAGTTTATCATAGATACATCATTGAATCTTATTCTGCTATTGGTGGTGCACCTTTTGTACAGCAAAGTAAATTGAAATCCTTGTGGGGAAGCACCCCTGGTATTTTCACTAGCCTTTTAGTTGTGTGAAACTTTTTCAGAGTGTCTGGAAAACTATAAAATACAATTAAGCTATTACTTTCTTTTTTTTTTTGAATGAAAGTAAGAAACTGCTGCTACCTATCTGTTTATATGTAGTGTGTCTCGTTAGGAACTGTCAATTGAAGAAGCTTTTCTTCACCTTAGTCCTGCCAAATTGTAACTTTTGAATCCTGGTATGTGTAAATATGCGTGTGTTCGAAATCAGTCTGAAAGTGTTACACCACAGGCATCTCCAGTGATTTGTTCTTCAGCAAACAGTCAGTTCTAAAATATAGTAATATATAGCTGTGTTCCTTGTCTGTCTTTATGCAAGGTTTTTGTGCCTGAGGTGGTACTTGCATGGCAGGTGATATTGGAAAGCTACATCCAAAGGAGAATTTTTGGAAGCAAGTTCATTTTCTTTTTTTTTTCCCTTCTCTTTTCCTTTGGTTTTTCTGTTTCTTTGGGGGGGGGGGGGGGTTGAGGGAAGGGGGGGTTGGGGAATTTTTGTTTGGCTTTTTTGGTTTGTTTTTTTTCTTAATTAACAGCACTGATCTTACCTGAACTTTTAAACTTGAATTTTTCCTGCACTTTAATTCAATCATGGTATTTTATTCCTTAATTTTTTTTCTACATTTGTGCAGTTCAGGTTCATTATTTGTATATAAACACACATGTTCAATAAAGACTTTAAAACAGATTACTTTCAGGCACCTTTGCTAATCATGTGATTTATTTAGAATGTGTGTTTTCTTAGCAAAATATGTATATACAGTATAGAGTCTAATTAAAGGCACATATCCTGTGTCAGCATTCAGTTTATAAATTACTGCAACACTTTCACATTTATTACTAGATAATGCAAAAAAAATCTGTTATATTTATACATACTGCTTAAGAATATACTTTTAGTTTTAAATAATTTTTATATGTACACTTCTACCTTTAATTTTAGAAAGACTTACGTTCAAGTTTTAAGTCAAAGTACTTAAAGTATGTATATTATCCATAGAAGTTGTTTTAAGCTTATGAATACATTCATATCTCATATCGAGATGATACAATTACTAAGCAATGAAAACAAATTGCCCGTTTTGCTTTGCAGAAAATAATCAGTTATTTTTACCTCCCATTTTGAACATTCTTTAACAATTCCCTAAGTATGGAATGAGAAGATAGAAAACTAGCCTAATGTAAAAGTTTTCTCAATAGCTGCAGTCTGTGGCTGACTGCTGTTCTATGTTTTGTTTTTTTCTGGTAAACACAAGAGACTTTTTTCAGCCCTATTTCTCAAACTTTTAAAATTCTCCAAAATTGAAGTGAGGTTTGTCCAATAAACATTTTCTTTGATTAATCTGTGTATCTTGATTATACATCAGCTCTTTACATGAAAATCTGGGTTGGGTTTTTTGTGGATTAGGGGTTTTTTTGTAACTCAGATATGTGTTGGAAAATTTAATGGCCTGTGGCTGAAGTGCCCTCTACTTTCTCATCATGGTTTAACATCCCAGGGCAGGCATTGACTGCAGCCAAAGTCCAGTTCAGGAGTGAAGGAGTGCAGTGCCTTGCCTCCCTCCAAGTAGAAAGGTAGCTTGTCAGTTGAATCTTTGCTCATTCTAACCAATTTTCTGGATAATTTATGTGAATCTTTTTGGGTGGATGTTGATACCTTTGCTACTACCGCAAAATCTTCAAATACTTTGTAGGCAGAGATTAATCGTGTTTGAGGGGAGGAAGTAAGTAAAACCGAATAAAAAAAAAATGCGTAGTGTAGGTGAATCAGCTAAACCGATTTTACTCAAATTTTCATTGAAAAGCTAAATTAAGCTGGGCCAATTTCTTCTTCTTAAGCCCATTATAAAGATGTGCTATATATCTACTCTATTACTGTTTCAAGCCAGATGAGTGTGCTGCGTTTCTGGGTTCTTTTACATGTTCTGAAGTTCAGGCTTAAAGAAGTGGGCATTCATTTTTAACAAGGGGTGGGGGGGAGAAGAGAAATGAGGCAGAAACAATGAACAATCAAATGAAAGGTGTCAATCAGTATTTCTTTAATATTTCCATGTGCGCCTAGAAATGTTTAAGCTAACCTACTGCTGTAGGTTACCTTTATACTTGTATTTCTTTTTGTTAGTATTTTTGTTAGTTACATATTACCAGGCAAATAACTAGAAGTTAAACTGTTTCAGTTGAAAACATTTAAGGAGTTGTATGTGGATTACCACTACCATTCAGTAATAGGTGATGCAAAGGGAGAGGGGTGGGAACATGTTTTAAATATTCCCTTTTAAAACAGAATTGTAAATAAGCAGTACTGTGTTTATTTTAGACCTGAGCTCTGCTATCTGTAGTGGTTAGAACTAGGAAAACTTGCTGCTTTCTAGTTACGCTGCTGTTTCATTGTACCAGCACCATGGAGGAAAAAAAAACCAACCATCCGTAAATTTTTCTAACGTTGCCCACTCATGGGTAAGCATGCTTGATGTGTAGCAGTTCTCGTTTATGTATATGTTAGTGTGTACATGTGTGCTTTCTTTTTCCTTTATGTTCATTGCAACTTATTCTTCAGTTAAGTCTTGCTGAGCCCCACTAGCTCTTCTGAGGATGATTACTGGAATATGCATTTTTAGGTAGGGTTGCAAATCCATCTGTCTACAAATATAGTTTCATATGAACTGCAAACTGTACTGTTACAAACACAACTATGTTAGATTGCATAGAATTATTTTACTTACATGTACTTGGACTGAAATATGTCATCATAATGAAGTTAAAAAATTAAGTATGGAATATTTTTGTAAATAAAAATACCTGTGCAGCTGGTATTTTAAATTTAAAATGTATTATACATTAATGTTTCAGAAAAAAAAATGTTCATATATATGTGTATATGAATGTGTCATTATGCTGAAGGGCTCTTGATTGGGCAAAATAAACTATTCAAATCTCTCCTGAAATGAGTGGAGCTTACTCCTTTTCTTCCCAAGCAGTTCTTTTCCTGCTGGCGGGAGCAACAGGAAAATGTGAGATGTGCTTTATAATGAGCAAAGCGGTGGATGTTTGAAGCACCAGCAGGGAGGCTGACGTTGAGTAGCCCTGAAGGAGCACGAAAGGTGAAATGGTTTATCTGCAATGATGTTCTCAAGCACATCTAAAACCATTCTGAAATGTACGTACTGCTGGTGAAGATGCTAAGTCCTGTTATCCTTTTAAGCTGCCAGAAAGTTCAGGTCATTCATTGCACAGACTCAGTAAAGCAAAGTATTTTCTTTAGCTGCATTTCGACAGTGTTTATTAAGCTAAAAGTCCAGAGTGTATGGGGAGAAGAGATGCAACTGATATTTTTTCTTTACCATATTTATGGCACAGCAGATGTATTATGGCTGAACTTTGCCAATTTCTGACTTGCAGTCTATTAAATTTTGTCTTTTGCTGTTGGGGAGGGAGAGGAACACAAACAACCCACCTTTGTAAACATGCTCTCCCTGATGCGGAAATAATGAATCCAAAGAAAGGCTGGGGCTTTAAATCTGAAAGGTGAAATTGCTGTACCTTGGTGAAATTTTTGGAATTTCATGATGTCAAATGGCAAAATATTTCAGTGCTAGTTATTTTAGCATGTGAGGATGCAGTTTCATCTGTGTGAAAAGTCTGCTAGTTCCAGACCTCTTCTGTGTTCCTGTTTTGTTTTTTCTGTAATCTGATAGTGACATATTATGACCTTGAAGCTCTGCAGCACGTGGAGTTATAAATAGGACAATGCATTGGAATGAAAAAATTATTTTATCTTCAGTTTAATTGGACTGACAATATTGACTGACACTGCCTCCAGCCACTCACTAGCTCCAGTAGTCTCCAAAAAAAATTAAAAAAGCTACAGTGAAACTAGCGCCCTTCCTATGGGGGCTGTGGGGCTGCACTGAGCATCAATGGACTGACAAGGGGAGGGGAGTGCCAGAGTGAAGTTGCAAAATGAAGCACTTTGATTTTGTGAAGGTCAGAATTTGATGAGACCTATATTAAAACTTGGTTCCATCGCACTTCAGGTGTTCCAACAATTTTGGTGCTAATGTACTATTAATTAAACGCATCTAAGAGCTACAGTCGCATGCTTATGTGCCCATCAGTATTTTTCTTACCCAGATTTTTTAATTGGGAATTTTCATCCAGGCGGGATCACTGAACCAGCTCCTCCGTGTTTCCCATTGGCCTGTGGGTGCTCAGTGGTATCCCTGATCTTGCTTGCTCTCTCCTCCTACTGTGGTGCACTTAGACTGCTCCCTTGACCACAGGTCAGCCGAGCAAGAGGCCTCTTTTAAGAGGAAAGGTTGCAGGCTTGCTGGAGGTATCCTAGTCTGGCCTAAGGAAATGGGATATTTTCCCCCACAGTCCTGCACTGAGATAAGCCCATGAGAGCAGAATGTCAGCAAACACCAGTTTCTCACCTTCTAGTTTGCTGGCCGATTTTTCACAATGTGTAATTAATGCTTCCTCAATAAGGGCTTAGGGGCTTGCATATGTAACTCATTATAGTAGCAGAGTTCTGCTCAATGGCTGTAGCAAACAGTTTTCTGTATTTTTTAGCCATGGGAGACAACCTGGACTAAGGCTTGTGCACAGCCTGCTCAGAAGGGGGGATCTGTACCCACCCCCACCACCTCAGCTGAGAACTGGGGAGCACTCCTTTAGCCTCAAACACTCATTTAGAGCTGTTTGATTCCAGCACTACTCAGAAGGAGTGATGGAGGACTGTAGAAAAGCCACAGTCAAGATAAAAATGGAAAGGTTGATGTGTTTTGGAGCAGGTAACTGTGTTTCTGTATCTTGCTGCAGTCACAGTGTGAGCAGGACTTCACAGAGAGTTGAGCGTTTGAAGAAGTTTGTAATCAAAATGTCAGACTGTGCTTATGTTTTGATAAGTTTACCAACTCCTCTGCCTAATTAAGCAGACATAATGAGAAATTTGAGATAACTGTGGTTTCTGTGGTGCAAGGCACTCCTGGGAAGAAGAATGTGAAATGCAGTCTCCTGTGTCAGAGTGAATAGAAAACAATTTCAAGCTGGTATCCCCTAATTCTCTTGTGCACCTGCAAGTCTCTTAGCAGCACTTGTGTTAAGTACCTTTTATCTGAATGTTAGTGTCACCTATCAACTATGGCACTTTTCCTTACAGGATCCTGAAGGACACACTGCAGTTGGTCCAGGCCCGACTGAGACTTCTTTTCCCTATAGTCACTGTCTTCAGATTGAAGTATGCACGTCTGTTGTTCAAGATGGATCTCAGAACTTAACACTAATTTATGTAAGGAAG